GGATTTATTTCAAAACAAAAAATTTATGTATTTTTGTGTTATAGATTTTGAGACGAGCAACACGATTCCACTGTTCAAAATTCGAACTAAAATTTGAACACCTTATAACTGATTTCCACCAACCCTTAACTGCAGTTTATGCAGTTTGAAAAACGGAGATTACAACTCGAAGGAGGTAACTCCACCTATTAAGTAGAAGAAAACGAAAGAAAAAAGCAAAACTTAAGAAAAAAACCTTTCCGATCACCCCATTTTGGAATTATGGGAACTTCTCTGAGCTCTTAACTGCAGTTAAGCCTTTGTTGGAAATAGGCTATTAATTTAATAAATGCATTATTTATTGCATTTTTTTCTATTTGCATGCAGCTGTGCATTCTTCATAAAATTTTACATCCCTCAAACAATAAGTGGGGTTTAGTGCAATTCAAGGCCTTTAATTTAAGCCAAGGTAGAAGTCTCTAGGCCCTCTGAGAGCCCAGTTATAATAACTTGCAACCAAACTTCGAAACAGCTGTACTAATTTTTACTCCGAAATTAGAAAAAAATTGCGTAAAATGTCGAATGAAATTTCGAAGTTTAACTTCAGAATCGTAATAATTTAGCTCTCAAAGGGCCTAGAGACTTCTACCTCGGCTAAAATTAAAGATCTTGAATAGCACTAAACTCGAGGGATATAAAATTGTGTGAAGGATGCACAGCTGCATGCAGATCATAAAAAATGCAATATATAATGCATTTTTCAAATTGAGGGGTTGAAAATCTTTTTAGTTTTTTAAACAGTAAAATCGTGTTTCTCGTCTCAAAATCTATAATACTAGTGTAGTAAAAATTACAAAAAATGTTTTCTTTTTTTTAATATATCCGTTGGATTTTGCATGTTTTTTTCCGAAGAACACTATTTTTGATTAATAGGCATGAAGTGTTAAAAAAGCACACTGGGTGTCATCGAGTTAGCTCGACTATCTTATTTTTCAGTCGAGAAATATAATTTTGAAATTTTAAAATTACTACGGTGTATTTTTCTCAAAAAATATGACTCAAAACATATGATTTATAAAAATACAATTCATTTATAAACAATATATAATGTAATAAAATAAAATGTCTATCATACTTGGACGTACAAAATTTTTGTACCTCCTCGAGGCAAAAGCACTGGTGTATCACACTTTAAAATCCGACTACAAATGCCGAAGATATGAAGAGAAATGTAATTGGGCGGTTATCCACATACAAAAATTAAATTTTTTTTAATTTTTTTATTTTTATTTTTTTTTATTTTATTTTTTTTTTCGAAAACACTTCATATGAGGGGGTGTACAGCGAACTTTTTTTCGATGCGGTCTAATGTAAATACATATAGGCATTTCCCAAAAAAGGTAAACCGAAAATGCAAATAAATGAATGCAAACGGCTTTTAACTTTGAATCTCGTATTCAGATGGTGAAAATAGGTTTAGA